ATGGACTTTCAAGATTTTTTTATGTTAACATCCTATTTTACGTCTTATCAGATTCAGAGGAAAATGCCTTTCATATAAAACAGATAAATCAGATATTATCAAATCTGCTGATGTATATTTCCTTGAAAAACTTTAGAAACTTACTAGGCAGGCCTGTCCCATATGTTATACCAGCTGCACACTGCTATTTATTTCAGATTTCAGTCTATGAATGAAAATAAATTTGTTGTAACACACTTTAGTTCAGATATGCTCTTTTGCAGACTCTTTTCTACCTTGTTGTCTGGAAGACAGATTTTATCCTTTTCAAGCTTGCACACAATCTTTTTTGTAAAAACTGAGAAGGCATTTAACAATGTAAATATTGTGTATGTAAAGTTTTTAGAAGTATTTTGTGCATAATTTGCAAACACAAGGTATTGAATATTTGAAAAATATTCCATGTGTAGATAGGCTGTAAAAACCTCAATACATGATCCTACTTGGGGATTAAGAGGGTCTTTCATTCACCTACAGCTATGAGGTATTTTCACTGATTGTAAGTGTTGACCTCAAAGGAATATCTGAGTGAAAAAATGCCACTCACTATGAGTAAATCTTTCAGACTAATGCCCTCAATAGTTAGCTTTAGTTCAGTAAAAAAACCCAAAACAAAACCAAAACAAACAAACAAACACAACAACAACAACAAAAAGAGGGAAAAATAAACTGCAGCTTTGTTCTGCAGTTCCCCATATAGCGTTTCTGTAGTAACCCAGACCCTCATCCACTAAGCACTCATTACTGTCCTCTGCCTTTTTTCAAAAGATTACTCACCAGTGAAATCAGTCCTTCAGGTCACCCATCCTTTAAAAGATATTTTCTGTGTCCAGTCCTACTCAGAAAACATATCTGTAAAGATCAGACTGACAGAAGCCACTGGGACTGGTATTTTTCTAAGTGCAAACTCCAGATGTAATGTTTCTATTGCAATGTATCTCTTTTATTTTCCTTTTTTTATTTTCAAGATATTAAATAGATAGCTTAAATTTCAATGAAATTAAACAAAGGTGTTGAATTTAAAGAAATAAAAACTTTCATCTTAGTATTATTTCATCTTATTAGCAATTATTTTCTTTGAAGTAACCAAAGGTCAAGCTTATTGACATTTGGCCATTTTCCAAAACACTAGTGGGTGATTTGAAGACTGTCTTACAGGTATTCAGGACTACCTCTTTAAGAGCAATAGCTTTGTATTTCCTTACTGAAAGGAAGATGTATTTTAAAGCCTTTTTCCCACTTCACAAATCAACTGTGTCCAGCATCGTCTTCAAAGATGCCAAAGTGTTTACTATTATAAGTGATTGTAGCAGGGTGCTTTGCCTTAGTGTGCCTGCCTCAGTTTCCCTTTGAGATTCAATTCCCCTCTGTCTCTAAGTTTCATTGCCCCTGGCATGTAGTTGGAGGGTTCCCATGCAAAAGGAAAGTGTATAGTAAAATCTGAACCGGTAACAACTTGGAAAGTACAAACAGAGGTCAAGTTGATGTCAGTAATGCCAGCTGCTCTCTTGTGCTAAAGAACACAGAGCTCAACTTAGCCAGAGATATTTCAAATGGAGACAAAACAAGAATGGGGTAGTTAAACACAAGAGTTTGCTTGGTGAAAAAAAAGGCTCTCTTGGGTTTTTCTCTGTTTTCCTTTTGCTCTCCAAAAGTGGATTTTTGATGTATGACTCAGTAGTTCAATGACAGCAGCCAAACACCTCATTCTATAAAAGCCTGATCCCATCTTTGACTGGAGAGACTCCTGTACACTTTCTCTAAAAGGTGTGCTTAACCTACTCCCTCCAGTGGGGACACCTGCTCAAGTGGTTACTCCTCCAGAGGTTGAGAGAAAGGGATACCCTGCTAAACCCAGAGGGAGGATAAGAAATATCAGATGCCTTTATATGAATTCTTATTCATGTCTTCATTAGCTAGTTTTAAATATCAAAGAAAGCTTTAACTTTAAACCTTTGGAACTCTAAAACTTTAGGATCTTTTTAAGCATAAAAATATTGCAATCAATGTCTTACCACATTACTTTAAGGTATTATTTTAATGATTGCTGTAGACCTACTGTAAGACCTAATGATAAGTTGCTAGTACTCAAACAATTAGCCTTTGTATAACAGTTATCCAGTTGCTTGTTTGCTTGGGTATTCTGTTGTTAAGGTGCCTTATTGTTTTGTTGCCCTGATACCCTAACCTTTGGGTAATCCAAGTTGTGTCTTTTAGTTGATTTTTTAAGATATTTCATTATTTACAGTGAATCTTGGTTTTGTGCATATACATTTTGTCTGCTAGCTTGCCCCGTACAGGACAGTGACAGCTCATGTGACCAAATCCCCCCGTTTTCCCATAGATTGGGTCAATGACCCACATGTATGCATCCATGTTGGGTATTTTTTTCTTGAGTTCATGTTAGGTGAGAATGGGGACAGTGGAAAGAATGGCTCTTGAACTGCCAAGCCTTGCTGATTGAGATGACTAAGCACCACAAGAATTTTCTCCCGTTTCTAAAAGAACCTGGCCAGGTCCTCCTCATACATCACATAAAACACCATGAAGCAGCAAAATATTTAACTATCATAAACTTAAAAAAACACTTTAGAAACAAGTCTTCTGGCTCAAGATGTGTCTAGAGAGATTGCCTGTCAGATCTTGAAGAAGGCTCTAATATTGGCCCAAAGCAGAATCTTGAATCTCCACTTCAAAATAGGGCCAAGGGGAAATGTTCCCAAGCAGAGAAGAAATACTCACAGCCTGCCACTCATGTCTGTGACAATCTCACTCTACTCGGCGTGCTCACTACCTGCCAGCTCTGCAGCAACCAGAGACCTCACTGGAGGGGACCAGCAGGACTGAGAAGGCAAGGGCAATGAGGTGAGAGGGCTTGCCTTCTTCCACTGCATTTCAAGACACACCCCTAGTTCGCACAGTGTCCTTCAAATAACCCAGAGAGTCTTCTACAAGCTGGTAAGTGCTGTGCTTGTTCCGAATCCCTGCGCAGAACTAACTCTGGGCCCATCTCTTGGGGAACAACTCAATTGCTGCTTCCTTTCATATCTCAAGAGTCAGTATCTGATTCATTCTTTGTTAATGATTAAATTTTAGATATGTGTGGAAACAATTACATTCTCAGTGGCTTTTTACCTCCATTGGGGAGGTGGCATAGAAACACATCAACCAGAACACAGCTGGACATAGGCCCTGGACTTTTTCCAGGACACTTTCCAGGTAGGTGAAATGTCCTGGTCTTTCCTCCAGAGACCCCAGGGACAACAGCAGACTCAAGGCAAGCCAGTACAAGGGCAGGTTTGCTCTAACTCATCTTCCAGGCTCCCAACCAGGTGTCCGTGCTCTTTTTCTCCAGGCCTCCTTACCTCCATCCCCTGGGGGGTTGACTCTTTTGACTTCGCTCATGTCTCTGCAGGGTTTCTGACAATTAAAGAGTCAAAAGACAAGGGAGTCAGCCTGGGCACCTCACAGAGCTTTCACATTCTGGTTTCGAGGTCATGTACAGTTTAGTTCTCTATACTCCTACTAGAAAGCTCTTCCAAATACTGTTCTGAAGGCTGCTGGTCATCTCCTCTCATCAGTCTCAATGAAAGCCCTGGGTGTTTTCTTCTCCATTGGTTTGAAGAATTATAGAAGCATAGAATTGTTCTGCTTGGAAAAGACCTTCAAGATCAACAAGTCCATCCACTAACCTAACTCTCCCAAGTCCACTGCTAAGCTATCTCCCTAAGCACCAATGATTCAACCACCTCCCTGGGCAGCCTGTTGCAATTTTTTATAACCCTTTGAGTGAAAAAGTTTCTTTGAATATTCAATTTAAACTTCCCCTGGACCCCCTCTTCTTGTAATGTCTCCTTCTCTGCTGCTCATTCTCTTAGACTCTGAGACACGTGGGTCAGACTGTACCTCAGTCCTCTTTCCTCAGCCAACAGAGGCTCTCTTTTTTAACAATTTTCCCTTCAGCTTTTTCTCCCCATTCAAAGATAATCATACAAGCTCTTCTCTCCACCAGTCTTCCTGAAATAGTTACATCTGGATGTCAAAGGCACTTGTCACAGCTGAGATACAGCTGTGGTACTCTACATATACTCTACAATTGGCTCTACGTTGTCATGCCTGAGCAGCAGTATTGGACCAGATGACCAGAGCTCCCTTCCAGCCTCAACCATTATGTGAAAATCAGCAGCAGGAACAAGCATAGATTATGTAACCAGTTTCAGCTTCTGATTTTGGAAAAGAAGATGTCCTTTGCCCTCTATTAGCTTTAAAGGAAGCTGAGGTGATCAGATCAATATAGATCTCTCTATTTGGCCAGATCGGTCTGACCCTACATTTCAGCTAGAACAAAGATGTGTGTGCCATGACAAATTATTCAGAGTTCAGAAAAGCTTGGTACTGAGTCCTTCCTCTTGAGTGCTTCTGATCCATGCACCTTTCCACTATGGGATCCACAGCACATCAAGGCCATAAATCCACATTCAGGCTACTAAAGAAGAATCTTCACAACTGTTTCAGATCCCCAGCCAGCTGAGCTTCTGCTCTTGTCAAGATCTGGCATCCCCAACATTTTCCATAAAGAGAGAAGGGAAAGCCAGAGAAACCAGTGGAAACTTCTCCTTCTTCTCCCAACTTCTGCCAGTCTCAAAGGTCAAGAAAGTTGTTTCTAAATTGTACTTGTGCCCAACAGACATCTCTGCCAATGCACAGGACTAGTTTAGGCATCACCTGTTAAATATTCACTAGCACAGGATAAAGTGAGTGCACACAGCAGCGAGGGGGCCTAACAGGGATTCTCCAAGGATAAAATCTCAGATGGGCATTTCTGTCACTTCTTATAGGTGAAACTCATACCTCTGCATGTGTAGAAGTGCCATTAATGCTTGAAAATCTTAACTTCTGACAGGAGATTGTGCTCCTTGACTGAATTTTCACTTTCTTGGCTAAACCTTTGCTGAAAGACAATGGATTGGGTCAGTCTTGTTCCTGTAGGGTTACTGTTTATACTCATTCTGCTAGTGATTCTTAAAGGACAACATGCCTGGAAGAGTCACCCAAGAATAAACTTCCCCCCAGGACCCAGGCCATTACCCATCATTGGAAATCTGCACATCATGGATCTGAAGAGACCTCACCTGACAATGCTAGAGGTAACTTCTCTTGTTTCTTTTTCTTGGAGCTCTGTGTCCAGAGTAGTCACTGACCCCAAAAAGGGATACAAACTTCTCTCTGGAGGTGGAGATGCAAATGAAACAGAATTTATTCTCTGCAGTAACTGCTCTTCTTATCATATGGTCTTGCATGAGTTCAGGGGATCTGACTTCTATATATGTCTTTAAGAGAGTTGACCTGTTTCTGTGGAACAAAATAAATATTGGGCTTCTACAGACAAGAGTATCTAGAAGAGAGAGACCCTGAATTCTTACTTCCTACAGGAACTTCTACCAGGTGATCCTAAAACAGGTAGGGAGGAGACCAGACCTTTCTGGAGGCTGTTTGGTGGACTCAGGGAGCTGGCAGAAAACAGCTTCTTCATCCTCTCCTTTCATGCTCACCATGGAGGAGAAACTTTCCTGGTTTCCCAGAGCAACATAGGGTACAAATAAACTCCGCTTGTTCCTTCATACCTAGTGGTACTAAACTCCAGGACTTGAGGGAAGATGGTGTGTAATAGTCAAATAGTGTATGACTTTTAGGGTACTCTCCCTGCACTACGTGTCAAAGCCATGAACAGCAAGCTTAAGAGTTTTAGACAGTTCCTGTACCCTGATGTACCATCACCTGTTGGAAATGGAGACCAGCTTTCAAGAAGTTTTTCCTCGTATTTAAATGGAACTTCCTATGTTCCAACTTGTACTCGTTGCCCCTTGTTCTGATACTGGGAACTACTGAGAAGAGCCTGTCTCCATCTTCCTTGCACCCACCCTTTAGATACTTATATATATTGATAAGGTCTCCTCTCAGCCTTCTCATCTCCAGGCTAAAGAGTCCCAGCTCTTTCAGCCTTTCCTCATAAGAGAGATGCTCCAATCCCCCTATCATATTCATCACCCTCCTCTGGACTCTCTCCAGTAGCTACCTCTCTCTCTTGAACTGTGGAGCCCAGAACTGGATGCAGTATTTGTATAAAATTTCTCCACGTTTTGGGCAGTGAATGAAAAACCAATGCCATGTAGGAAAGAGAACATTAAACCTGCTGAAGAACAAGAATTTTGAGCTTGCTGAAAATAATATTCTTTTATTGTACTCTTTCATCCTATTAGCTGTCCAAAATATATGGCCCAGTCTTCAGCATTCAGATGGGACCAAGAAAAACGGTGGTGCTATCAGGATATGAAACAGTGAAGGAAGCTCTGGTGAATCAGGCAGATGCATTTGCAGGGAGACCCAAAATACCAGTCATTGAAGAATCAGCCAAAGGAAAAGGTGAGGGTGCCATTCTGTTCCCTGTACATCTACCTTCTACAAAGAAGCATGAAACTTTCTCCATGAGAGGAGAATGCAGAACCTCTCACTTTATTTTGCTAAGCATGTGAGGCAATGGAAGAAGGGGGAAACTGATATACATTGGGGATAAGTAGAGATTACATTCTTAATTTACATATTTAAAGATCTGAATCTGCAACTGAGTCTTCCTTTATAGGTGACATGTTGAGGAGCTGACATGGGGTTATCTTCTGATCTCTTCACAAAGGCCACCCATGCAGCTGCCCAGCTACCAAAATCTTGCCACTTGAACCCAATACAAACTGGAAAATAACTGTCTGTTACATCAGCAGTACTATCTCCAAATACTCCTTGTGAGATCCTTTTTATGGAATGCTTGTTTCAATCTTATTTCAGTGCTTATTTTCCAGCTCAATTTACCTTTGGGAATAAATCTCGTTCTAAGAGACAATAAACAATAATCCAAGCCTTTAGTTTACTTCTCACTCACTCTGGCTCTGAGTTGTACTGGTGCAGGTTTCATCATCTGCAGATGTTGGAACCTGAACCAGATTGTTCAGTTTCCATAAATATTGATAGGATACATGGAAGTAGGGGCATGAGAGATTGTCTTCTTCTGACAGGAGTGCAAGGATGAGCACATTAGCATCTTGCGATTGGCCTGTATGTTGTGAAATACACGCTTATCTGCAAATGTTTTCTTTCCTTGTTAGGAACAGCTTCTGGAACAAGACTCTAATCAAAAATAAAAGCTCATGATAGGTGCAAGGAGAGTAAATAGAGACACAATTTGACTGAAACTTTTCTGCAGATGCCATCGAGAATTCTTTGCAGCTTTTCTAGTGTGTTCAGGGGTGGGGTTACCCTGGAAAAATGGGAATATTTTTCCAAAGATATGTCCATATTTGAAGTTTCCTTTACTTTCTAAAGTTCAGAAAAGAAAACAGGTGCTCTTGACAGAGGTTGCATTGCACCTAGGGGAAACACCTAATGTCAATGAGTAGATCAGACACCTCATGAACTTGGAGTGGTAGTTACTTCCCTCAGGGCTTTCTCCTGACATGTCTTTCTTGTCTTATTTCATTCTCTGCCTTGAGAGCCTGACCAGTTTCCTGCAAGCACCCATCTTTACTTAGATTCAGAGTAGAGGAGGAATATTTGCGCATATGATGAAATTTCTATTTCTGTGTTTTCCACTTCAGGAGTTATATTTTCTGATGGAGAAAACTGGAAAGTGATGCGAAGATTTACTCTTACAACCTTACGAGATTTTGGAATGGGCAAAAAGGCCATAGAGGATCGTGTTGTTGAAGAGTACAAATGCCTGGCAGACACTATTGAGTCACATAAAGGTGAGGGGATAGTTATCTTCACGACACTCTGATCTTCCTCAAACCTCCTACAAATATGCAAATGGCCAAGGAAAAAGAACCTCTGAACTCTTTTAGAGTTCTACTTTTCTCCAAAATCCATGCTCTCAGGAGTTTACACGAGCTGTCTGTTCTCCTACCTGGTAATTGCCTGGCATGCAAATGAAAAACATTCACTGAAAGACAGAAAGCCAAACATGAGTCAGACATCAAGTAGTACACTTAAGAGTAATTTCTTCCTCCATATGCAGCTCCTTTGACTGATACAGAGGCATGGGGAGAGCAGAAGGCTGGTGCGAAGCCTTGCATACCTACACTGTACAGTATATATGCTATATACTACGTATACTGCATATTAGGAAACATTAAGATTACATATGCCAAGCAGGGCAGCTTGAGGAAGGGCTAAAAAGATACAGAGACCTAGTACTCTTGGAGAAGATGTAGAGGGCAACAAAAGACTTGTATTCAGTACCTGGTCTGTCAAAGAACCATTAGGGACGGTCAAACTCTGAAATGGTGGTGCCTTTCCTCCTTCCATCTCTGTGCCTATCAAGTCCCAGACTTCACTGAGCCTCTGCACACTACTTTAATTAATTAGAGTAACTATTAACTTTTTTGTCTGCACTACCTTTTCCCATACCAGGGAAGCCTCTTGAGATGACTCTGATGATGAATGCTGCTGTTGCTAACATCATTGTATCCATATTGCTGGGAAAGCGGTATGATTATGAAGACCCCATGTTCAAAAGGCTCCTGTTACTGGTGAATGAAAATGTCAGGCTTTTTGGAAGTCCATCAGTTTCGGTAATTCCTACTGTTTGAATATTGCTCTGCAAAAACAGTTACAGAGAGCAATGGTACACCTCTTCAACTCCAATAATTGCCATGTCTGTACATGATAAACGCACTCAGAAAGGGCAGGAAGTGCACTTCTAATGGTATTTATGGGTTCCTCTTGGCAGCATAGCCTAGAAAATTGTGAGTTCCTCCTTTCATGAGGAATTGAGCAATGTATAATATGATACAAAGATTGTGCCCTCTAGCAGTAGAATTCAGTCATTAATCTCCATCTCCCTTTACAAACAACAAGACCAAAAACAGAGTGGGCATGACTGTACCTGTGCCTTAAACTTGATGCTCCCAATTCCACTCAGTGTGGAGAGGGAAGGATGAATTCCCTAAGAGTGAAGGGATAGGAAATAGTGTCTAGGACATATGCACAAACATAGGATTTCTAGGCCAACATCAATTAGTGTGATTATTCTCAGTGTAACAGAGAATAAATTTTAACTATTTTACACACTTGGCCAGGGAAGAAGGAGGACAAAGGGACATATTGCACCATGAGAATATGGCTACACACAATTTTCTGTAAGGGCTTTTCTTTATTTACACTATTGAACTGTGGTACATTTACTTAGTTACTTTTTTCTTTCTCACCATCTCTACATTTTGAAGATGTACAACATGTTCCCAGCCCTTGGATTTCTTCTGAAGGACCACAAAAATTTTCTTCAGAATGTAAAAGAACTCAATGCTTTTATCCAGGTTACTTTCATAGAACATCTCAAAAACCTGGACAGAAATGACCAGAGGAGCTTCATTGACACTTTTCTTGTGAGACAACAAGAGGTAATTGAATCCCAGCAGCTTGCTCAAATTTCTTCATTCACCTTTCAGTGCTTGATAGATAAACAAATGTTCTTCAACAGAGATTGAGCATGTGCAAAAGTCCTACTAATACCTGTGGTCAGGCTAAAAGACTGTGCAGTCATGTCAGCTAGGAGAGAAATTAATCACAGACAAACATCTTGTATGTGTTCCAAGCAATTTATCAGGAAAATATAAAACACTATTTCAGCAAGCGAGGTATGAGAAACCTCTTTTTTTCCTGTAGTTTAAAATGCCTTTCTGTATCTCAGCAACTCTGACCCATTGTTTTAAAACTCACCTTCCCCTTCCTAGAGACCTACCCAGGGAAAGCTCTAGGCCTGGGACTCCTTGGTACTTATTTCTTGGTTTCAGTTGTCAGCTCACACAAGATTGCACTTACCTGCTTCAACAAAACTCTAGTTTTACAATTCTTGTGAAATGTGGCAGTGTTTGCACCCAACCCCCACCTCTGTGCTGGTATGAATTCATGGGGCTTCAGTCCAAGTTTGCTATGGTGTAAGCAAAGGTTGGCCTCTGGGTTACAGGGGAACATGAACTGCCATTCTAGGCTTTTTTGATGCTAGTGGCAGTTAAAGGCAATATTTTCATACACTAAGTCCCCAGTACCTCTTGAGGTCATGTCAAAACCCAGCTACAACAGAAAATCTATTCTTCTTCCCAACAAATCTCATTCTGCAAGATGCTCCAGTCCATGACCCATGGGCAGAAAAGTGCTGAAGTGCACGACTGAATCACATGGGTGGCCTCAGTGACTGCCCACTCTTTTCCAAAACATTCCTGTCATCACTGACATTACTCAGCTGAAGACCCCTGTTGATTTGAGTGTGTGTTCTTGTGGGCAGCACATGCAATCCAAGCACTCTATCTCAAGATTTGATTTAAAACAAGTTTCTCAAGGCATCCCATAAAATCTTTCTTATCCTTTACACTCAAAACCTCCTTGAGGGTTTCATACGAGAGTTTTTCCCTGTTCTCCAATGAAAAAAGTGCCTCACAATCTTGAATCAACTGATATTTTTATTGTTTTATATCTCCAGGAGAATGGAAAAGCCAGTGGATATTTCCATAATGAAAATTTAACTGAGGTTGTGAGAAACTTGTTTGCAGCTGGCATGGAGACCACGTCTACTACTTTGCGCTGGGGAATTCTACTCATGATGAAATATCCTGAAATTCAGAGTAAGTGGAAACTGGACAATCAGTGTCTTCCTTCTCATCAGGTCACCTCAAATATGATTTCACACTGAATAGGACTGGACAAAAAGTGCATCTTCCACATCCCCCTATTTCTAGCAGGAAAAAGAGACATTTAAGCAATCTCTCTATATGCAATTCCTGTTCCTTTCACAGAAAAAGTCCAAGAAGAGATAGAGCAAGTGATAGGGTCAACCCCCCCCCGAATAGAGCATCGAACTCAGATGCCATATACAGATGCTGTCATCCATGAAATTCAAAGGTTTGCCAATATCCTGCCATTGAGCTTGCCTCATGAAACTACTGAAGATGTCACCCTTAAAGGCTGTTTCATTCCCAAGGTGAGATGTCTTTAGCACTCTTTTCCTTACGTCTGTCTCCAGTGTGATACATCTCCCTTTCAAGTCCTGCTCACATCCAGGGATGCTCATTCACACTGGGTTTATCACAGCTACTTTGGCAAGAGTTCCCCTGTTGAAGTTGGGGTTTTGAGCTCCAACATTCACAATCACTCTGAGGGTCACACACCATCCTCAATGCAATGACTGCTCTGCCTTGACTTGCAGGGAACCTACATCATCCCCTTACTGGCCTCTGTCCTCCAAGACAAATCATGGTGGGAGAAACCAGACATCTTCTACCCTGAGCATTTCCTTGACTCAGAGGGCAAGTTCATAAAGAAAGATGCTTTTATTCCATTTTCAGCAGGTAATTTTCATTCTGGTTTTAGGGCTCTGAGGGGAACTGGACATCTAAGTTTCTTTCCCATTGGAGATGACCTCTCAGACTCTTCCCAGAACTCAACTCTCCTCTCCTCTCCTCTCCTCTCCTCTCCTCTCCTCTCCTCTCCCCTCCCCTCCCCCCCCTTC